ATAAATGGCTCAGACAAACTTGGCTTTCTGTGAAATTTATTCAAGGACTAAAAGCAAAATGCAACAGAATACTGATTCACCTTTGTGGGTACAAGTAATCTTATGTGAATTCAGCAAGGGCTTGAATCTTACGAGTCCTGCACTTTACACTGGTGTTTAAACAAGGTAAGCTTGAGGAAGCTGCACATCTGTCAAAATGTTTAAATACATGTAGTATTTACAGTAAGGCCACCATACTGACAAATGGATCTGCATTTCAATCCCTGAGCCTTGTGTTAATGTGAAGCTAAACTGTTCAGACTTCAAAGGATATATTTAATCTGGTCCGTAACAAGTGTAGCTGAAAATCCAGAACATCTGCAATATTGGGTTTGTAGTTGGTTTATTACTCCAGGCAGGAAATGAAGTTCATTCGTTTGAGATGGAAGGCAATTTCAGCTCTGACAACTCCGAGTCTGGGCTGCTGCTGCCGCTCCGGTCACTGTATGTGTCCCTGTGTCAAAGAATAAGTCATTAATCCAGGCCTAGTTATTCAGGTTTACTAATTTGGTTCTTTCAAAGCAGTTGACTTTAACCCTAAGCTCTCCTTTTTAAACTCATGACTGGCTGAGTGCTGATCATGTCAATGGCAAGTTCCCATCTTCCACCACAAATATTGGTCTTTTGTGCTTCAGTGTTTCCACACATGCATGATTAAATGTGCAAGAGACTCATTAAATGCGATGTGTTCTGGCTCCACTGGTCTCAAACATAAGAATCTTTTAGGTTGTCTTTTTGCATACAGTATCTTAACCTAAATTCAGTTTTAGTGTACAAAGTTTTATATTTAATCACATCACTTAATCGTGATAATTACACCAACAGATCATAGTGATTTTACAATAATCTGCATGTTCCCTGCGATTATATTTACTCTTTAAAGCGAGCTGTAAGTACCTGAAAATGAGTTCATGTAAAACATCTGGGTCACGATCTGTCCGTAAGCCTGCAGGCACTTCTGCAGGTTTATAGCCATCTTCCAGATGCATTTTAAACCAGTTTCAAAGAATCAAAAACATACAGACTCCTGTCAAATCACCATTCTAATCTGAATAAAGTTATCCACATATGAAGAATGGGGCCCTGGTCTGACAAATCTGAGTCTGTACACTTGTTGAGACGTGTAATCTGATGCTGCGTGTTTACCGTGGAGACAGACGGCAGCCCTTTTGTAAGTAGCTCTGCAGCTTCCCGGCAGAGGCCAGCAGCAAACCAAGATAGGGGGGTGATGGCTTAATGGGGCGAGAGGTAAACTCGGGGTGGTACTGCACTCCAGCGAAATATGGATGATCTGAAAACAGAAAAGTACGCAGAAAGTTGTAGTGAAGTTGTTGGCCTTTAAAACCCCTGAGTTAACAGTTCAAGATAAAAAGGAATTTAGTGTTTCACTGTCCATACCATCCAGCTCTATGACCTCCATTCTTTCCCCTTCAACATCCTGACCTACGAACCGGAAGCCCTTCTCTTCAAAGTGACTCTTGAGCTCAGGATTGACCTGCACAACATTCAAAGTTCAAAAATAAATACACCCACTGTCAACAAGGTGGTTTATGCTGCTGATGAACTGACGGGTCAACGTGCCTCAAAGCGATGTCGGTGCCTTTCATCCACATACTCTGCATCTCCATACAGTTTGCCTGGAATACAGAACAGCTGTGAGCGCAGGGCAGACGCATCGCTACATCAGCACTGGGCTGAAAGTGAATTTAAAGTTTCCTCTTACGCAGTACACTGCTGGTAGTCTTGAAGATGGTCCGTCTCTTCCCTAGTCTCATCGTTCCGCCCATCTGACCGGGGTTGTGTTCTGGCATATCGATCACCTGCCAAGGTTACACACGAGCATTTCAATTCAAAGCACTTCTCAGGTCAAATTACAACAGGATCATTTACTAAATAGGATAAAAATTTACCACAGGATGCTTTGATTCTGGGTCGAATTCAGTTGAGTTGGCATCTAAGCGCAAAAACAGGCAGAGACGCAGAGACATGCAATTAGTTTTGTTAAGTATGTAATCACTAGCCACTGCTATCAACTCTTTGTCAGGTAAAGCGAAAAACTATACCAAATCAGGCCTATCACATAGGGAGATTAATAGTACCTTTCCAGCCAAGCACATTCCTGGCAAATTCACATACAGCCAGCTGCATTCCAAGACACACACCTGCAGAAACATATATACAAGTAGTGCGTTACTACTCATTTCAATATGACAAATCTGAAAGGGGGGTGGGTAAATAAAACTTATCACAGCATTAAGATAATGATAAGCGTGTGATCATGGTCATCCTGTACCTAGAAAAGGTATTTTCTGTTTCCTGGCCCAGTTGATGGCTTGAATCTTTCCTTCAGTTCCTCTGACACCAAAACCTCCTGGAACCAGGATGCCACTGAGGACAGAAGGGGGGGGAAACTGTTGGATGTAACTACACATTTAATGTCGAGGTTGTTGTTACAAAAAAAAACCCAAACAAAATTTAAAAGGGGTTCCCTCAGCACTCACTCAGCACTGCAGAGTTTCTGCCACGCCTCGTGGTATTTCACTGGTTCCTCCTGCAGAGTGCTCGGCTCCAAATACGCTGAGTCTATATACTGAGGAGAAGAAACACGTCACTGTTTAGTGGGGGGGGGGGATTTATAAATAAAAATCGATACAGCATAGAATTGTGATATTTTCCGTGGCAATATTGTATCGATACACAGACGCCAAGTATCGATCTTTAATTATATATATTGGACATGAGAATTTTATTTTTTGATACAATAATAAAATCAATTGCTTTTTCAGTCCACTAAAAAAAAAAAAAAAAAAAAAAGGTTTTCCTTTTGCAAAACATCACAATGTTTAAAATCACAGTAATATCGTATTGTGACATAAGGATCATGACAATATCGTATCGTGGGGCCTAAAGTTTGTAAGATCCATCCATCTCCTAAAGTTTGCACTACTCTTTCCAGAGCAGCCCCACGACCACTGTGGGGTCAACAGCTGAAGTCTGCTGTACTTGTACAATTCTACAACAGTAAAAGTATCTTGGTATTACCAAATGTACTTACAGTATCCAAACTAAAAATACCAACTGTGCAGAACGGTCCCTTTCAGAGGGCTAAATTAAGGAGCTCACAGAGATCCTTTTAATCATACGCGCACAAGATAATATTTAGTGCACACATCTTGTAAAGCACAATTGCAAATTTTCAGGACTTCAGGGACTCTCCTGTTCGTTTTGTTGCAGGACAAGTTAAAACTTTATCATTCATATTGGTGACCTCACGTAAATCCAACCTTGAGCAGGTCTGATCTACCACTTAAATGAAAGGACCTGTGTGGGTATCTCATAGCATGCAGCAACCACTAGATGGCAGCATACGCAGGATTGTAAGTCACATCGCTTCTTACAGCCAGGGAGGGCAATTTATTTCAGAAGCGTGCTTTGTAATAATTGTTGAAAATCCTTTTACATTCTGACAGCACTCAATAAATCAAATAGTCCGACACCAAAACAAAAGGAAAAGAAATCATTTGGTTGTAGCAGGACCGAACATGTGTTTTGGGGCAGTGGCTTTGGAGGGAGGCCTGTAGGGAGGGGTTGAGATTTTTTTCAGATAGATACTTTCATAATCGTGCCGTCTATTTGCCAGTTTTTCCAAATCAGGCCTATCACAGAGCAGGTGAACTACTTGAGTTGACGAAGTTACGTTACAGAACGCTGAAATAATACATCGTGGTGTTTTGTCGGGAGATGCAGTGACAGAAACCAGCGGTGAGAAAACTATAAATCGCTATGACGTTAGAAGACGGAGACACTGTGGATATTTTACAAGAACCGATCAGGTGAAGCAACACTGAACACACCTTTTAGGGAGGGCCTCAGCTGTAAAGGAAAGAGGTGCGCTGGATTTATAAAACAAAACAGCACTCAGCGCTATTATCGTTTTATAATTGGTGGAAGCAGCTTCATGCAACAGCTGTGGCAGTCTCTCTACACTGTTTCCACCTGACCTTTCTTTTCTCCGTGAGAGGGAGGAATTTAGAAAGTTGTGTGGGGCTGCGTCAGGCCCCCAGCTGTTGTGCATGATTTATGCAGCCAGAGGGTCCGATCACGAACGGTTCACAGCGCGCTAGTTGTAGGCCAGAGACAAGAGATCGCGGCGCGGCCAGCCGCGCAGTGAACAGTCGGCGATTGTTCCCTCTTGCTGGAGGAAGCAACATCTAATTGAGCACCGCGCTGTTAATGCGCTGTGCAGTTTTTAATATCAATTTATATTCGGGCATGGGGAGTGTCAAGTCAGCTCAAGTCAAAAGGCTCAAGTCCAAGTGAAGTCACAAGTCATTGGTGTTAAAGTCAAAGTAGAGTCACAAGTCTTCTTTGATTTTGTCAAGTCAAGAGTCATCATTTTTGTTACTCGAGTCTGATTTGAGTCCAAGTCATGTGACTTGAGTCCACACCTCTGGTGCAAACTGCTAAAGTGTAGCTCATATTGTTTGGGTGAACTAAATGAAGACATTAGTAAATTGTGACAATGAGCAGCAGGGGTTAACAACACGGTGTACATACCTTCACCTCCAACTTATGGCTAATGGCCAGGGCTGAGTGCTCCAGCGCTTTGATAACGGAAGCATAGGAGTCGGAAAACTTGGTGTACTTCCCAACCAGTGCTATGGAGCAGTGCTCCAGGAGTCTGTCTGACCTGTGAATACAGCATGTACATTAGTAAACCATCTGAAACAAGACCTTCTCTGGAGTAAAATCAGCAGATCACATAGGGCAGAAATCCTCTATTGAGCACTCGCCTGTCAGACATCTCCTTCCACTTGGTCAGCATCTTCCTGGGTCGAGTCTCTATGGGCATATTCAGTCTCTTGCTCAGGTAGCCCACCACGCCCTGATTCTCCAGCAGTAAAGGTACTCTGTAGATGGACGACACGTCGTGCACGCAGATGACCTGGAGCGAGACAGGGAGTCAGGGCTCTGCTTCATCAGAGATGACGAGACAAATGTGCTTCAGTGTCAGTGAGGTACCTGCTCAGGCTCCACATGGCAGAACATGGAGATCTTTTCTTTCACCGAGTTCTCCAGAGAGGTGGAACAGCGGCACATGATCTGTCAGCAAAGAGGAGATGAAATTGGGTCACTTCACACAGAAAACACAGGAGCCAAATAAGAAATGTGGTCAAGACTGCATGTTGCACTGATTTTGTGTTTGTGCGTGTGTGAAGTTTGGTAAAGTGGCTGTATTCTGAGGACTCGACATGTTATTCTGAAGTTTCTTTGCGACGACAGGATAATGAGTTTTAAAGAAAAGAGTTCAGTGATTTGCGTTAACAACTCTGTTAGGTCAGGATCGCCTCAGAACATACTGCTGTCATACACAAAGTTAAAAACATTAAGGCTCGTGCAGACTACACGACGTACAGCGTCGGCCGATGGCCGTGCCGTTCACACTACACAACTTGCCGTCTTGTGGCGGGAGTCTTGAAGTCGTTGTGGCGTTTGCACTATGGGACTGATCGATGACAGGGGGTCACACACTACACGAGCTGACAGCGGCTCTGTCACCCGACACTTTTGTCAATAAAACACACGTGAAATGTGAAACAGGAAATGACGCAAACCTACACACAAAACAGCTGTTTGTTATTATAAAGATAGCAATTGTCAAGACAAAGAAGCTGGGTGAAAGAATGAATTAGCACACGCAGCTAGCAGGGATCATCTGTGCTACAGCGAGAGCTGGAGGAGAGTTAAAAGGGTTTTGCGGTGAAAAAAGTAGCTGCCTTCTCTCATTGGCTGGATGTTGATGTCGGGTCAACTGACTTCTCCAGATATTTGGCATGCTAGATATCTGGCTGGCGTCGGTGATGCGTAAGTGATGTGTCGGGGAGCCGTTTTGATGCGTCCTTGAGTAGTTCACATATAACGACTGCCGACGATCGCTGATTTACCCCTGATCACAGCCCAGCGGTCAACCATCACATTGGGCTCAAAAATCGGGTTGTTAAATCTCAATTTCAGTGGTGACTGGGTGGTGTTGTGACACAGGAATAAGGCTAATCGATTAGGGGAAAAATCACAAACAATTATTTAAAACAATTACTCATTGACTAAGGAAACGTCATGCATTAATTGAACTTTTAAAATCTTCATTTCTTTTATTATTATTATATGCATTACCCTCAAAAATCCCAAATAACCCATGAAACAAGACATTGTATTCCAACATTATCCAACTGTGTGTGTGAGAGAGGTTAGAACTGAATTCTGGGTGAATTTTAAAAAGGTTTCAGGTTGTTCTTCTGGGACACACAACCAGCTCCATGATACTGCGGACATTTGACGATAGGGCTGTGCGATATGACGATATCTATCGTTTGACGATAGTAAAACATCTATCATTTAAAATTATGCTCCATTGTTTATTTCGTTGTGTGAAAAATTCCGCACTTTACTGTAATATTTCTGCAAGGGGACGGCACTTTTGCTCTGCGGTGAAGTTAAGTTTTCAAGTTGCAGGGAAGGAATTTGCATTCAGAACAAACAAACATGGAGGAGAGTAAGTTTTTTTGGGTTGTTTTTTCCCCCCCCGCATACCTCGCCTTTATGATGCAGAGAAATATCACCAGTTACTGTTCCAACAGTATGATATTTAATTGAATTTACAAAAAAAATTCTATATTGGGATCTGAGATTTCAGTCACATCACACAGCCTTAATTGATGATGATCATGATTCATGAAATACACTGATGTGTAAAATCAGTCAGCAGGAATCACACACACACAGTGTGAAGTGGAGCAATTATTGGAGGATGTGTGTGTACAGCAGACTCACCAGATCAGGGGACAAACCCAGGCCTCTCAGCTCTCTGACGCTGTTCTGTGTTGGTTTGGTCTTTTGCTCTCCTGTTGCACTGGGCTGGACAGAACAATGGAGATGTACCAAATATGTAACTGCCTGTATAAGTCATGACGATGCTAACCTTCTGTCTGTGCATCTCGATAAAAATACAAGAAACAAAAAAACGCAACGCTGAAAGTCCAAAATTATTTACTGATTTCTGAAGAAGTTGAATTTGTATTCTAAACATTCTGATGCAATCAGGGTGGATCTAATGTCACATTTAGGGGGTATGGGATATTGAAAAATAGCTTTGAATCTGCAAAGAAACCTTATTTGGTAATGTTATCACCTTCCCTCTTTTGGCATTTATACGACTGTATAGTAATTCTCATGATAAATTAACATTGGATTTTGTTAAGATGCTACCCTACTAGATCTTTTGCCCTCATCAAACAAACACTGTGACAGTGTCAAGCTCCAAATGAACACGTGTGTTGGTTCACACATGAGCTGCCTTTTGCTCCTTTACTGCTCAGAAGACCTGCTCTGTCTACATTTCCATACTATACTCAACAAAAACTACATGCATTCCATCTGAGAAATCAGTCCCACACTGCAAAAACTTCTCAGAGTGACGCATTTCTGATGATTCGGCCTCGGAGTAAAGGCATTTATTATAGGAAATATTACAGGAACAGTGTTAACTTACTATGTAAATTGTATATTGGTAAATATCATTAAGAGAACAGGCTATTTATCATATATATATATATCTCATCCTATATCTACACGTAAAAGTGCTGCTACTTGCAGCATTTTCATTTTTACCCACGTCTAACACGCCAAACCACAACTGTCAGAGAACCACAAAAGCCATCATCATAATGTCTACTTTGTGTTTAAAAAAAGTTAGTCTGTCCTGAGAGTAATCCTTGTTCTTGATGTAAGTAAGTATAAGATGCTTCATAAATAGCTCATGTCCTTCTAAGGTAGGAGTGTGTTTAGTCGTAAGTTTCAGTGTGATTCCTGGTGAGGATCCATATTCTATTTTATCCATATATGAAAATCTTGTTTGTGAATTCAAAATGTATGATTCTTCGAGTACATATTTCAACATGCACATTTTTAATTTATTTTTTTTAGTTGTTTTGTACTTCCAGAGTAAGAGACGCACGGTGCTTGAGGCAGAACAAGTGTTTGGCCTCAGAGAAAAGCAGCGAGGCCTGAAGGAGTTGCTCTCTTACCTGTGGTATCAGACTGACGTGAATGTTGCAGAAGTTCTCCCTCTTCACTTTGAACTGGAACTGCCTGAAGGCCTCGATGAAAGGCATACTCTCGATGTCTCCGACAGTTCCTCCCAACTGCGAACACGCCGAGAGTCACAAAATATTGAGAGTGACAATCACGGCAGCCTTTGTCTCAGCAGGGCCTTGACGCAGCGGGTAACTCTCCACAAAATATGAGGCATTTGGCGGCGCACGGCTTACCTCTATTACACAGACTTGAGGTTCTACGTCATCGTCATCAACTGGTACTCTGGCCTGTTTCACAACCCACTCCTGGATGGCATCTGTGATGTGTGGCACCACTGGAAAAGAGAAAAAAAACACACAAATCTTTCCTGGTTAACCACTTCTCTTCAGCCCGGCACCCTCTACCACACTTAGAACAGCGGCTGTTTACCCTGCACAGTCTTGCCCAGGTAGTCTCCCCTCCTCTCTTTGTTGATGACTGACTGATAGATCTTGCCGGTGGTCAGGTTGTTGTCTTTGGTCAGCCGGATGTCGAGGAAGCGCTCGTAGTTCCCCAGGTCCAAGTCCACCTCACCCCCGTCATCCAGCACAAACACTTCCCCTGGAAGGAGTGGGCATGACACAGTCGTGACACACACATAACGCGTGGCTGTTTATTTCTGACTGTGTTAAATGAGAGCGACCGTTTCCTCCGACATACCATGCTCATAGGGTGAAAATGTGCCCGCGTCGATGTTGATGTAAGGGTCGATCTTGATGGCAGTTACGTGCAGGCCGCATGACTTCAGGATTGTGCCCACACTGCTCGCAATGATTCCTTTGCCGATGCCTGAGATGACTCCCCCGGTTACCAGGATGTACTTCATCATTGTGCTCTGGTATCTAAATACAGACGATTAAAACCAAACAGCAGATCATGTAAAATTATTAATTCAGAGTAAGTATAAACTATTTGTGCTTTGGTAAAACTGTTTCAGGCCTCACTGTGCTTGAGATTTTAAAAATCATCAACTACACAAGCTTAAAACACAGGAAAGATGTCCAGTAACATGACCACTGCAGTGCAGCACTGAGGAGGTAACAAAGTGAAAAATGACACCACAACTAAATGAAAGTCAAGCAGAAACAGCCTCAACAGAAAACAATGTGTGAGCTTGAAGGTTCATTGGAGGTAACTGCTGATGAAGGCCACAAGATGCAGCTGAAAGCGCCAAAGGTATCGACATTTGACAGGAAATATTTAGACCTATACAATAAGATCACAGTAAGGGTAGAGAACATTTCTGTAAAAGCTAATTTCGCTATTGAGCTAACTTCACTAAAACAATGGCTCCTCCATGTTCTTGTTCTACAACGTGGACCCCTGGAGCTGTTGCCAAGGCAACTATTGGGGACAAATAAGTTTACCGTCTAAAACCACTGGTTATTTGAAGTTACAAAAACTCGGAGGTCATCAAATTTAACAAGTATATGTAACGTTAATGCTGAAACCTAAACGTTTATCGTCCTTCCCAGAACACAACAGTTTCAACACATAACCTCATGGCACGTTGGAAGCGCTCGGTGACACCCACCGTGTGGCCCGAGCGGGAGGGAAGTGCCGGATTCCCGTAAGCTACAAGTGAGCGGCCACCCGCCGAAAATAATACCTTGCGCGAGAATTACAATCATACACACAACACCAAGACCTCGGTTAGTGTCTGCAGTGAACGGACAAACAGACAAATTCAATGTTTGCTGAACAAAAGGACCACTGCTAATTTTCTGTTTCTGTCCAAAGAGTAACGTTAGCTAACATGCTCTCCATATCAAACAACGGCATCAAGCTCGCCAACTTACACGTGACCAGAAGACCCGAGTGCATTCAAAATAAAAGCGAATGTAGCTATTTGAGTAACTTTTGTATGAGTAGCATGTCAACAAAATACTTCACATTGACCATCTATTGCATTATTACATACTCTACTGTGGGTTACAAGACTTCAGCTGAAATATAATAAATCATTCAAATACACAGCTAAATTCTAGCGCATGGTATTTGTAACATCACTTTATTTTAATTGTTTTTGACCGGAAATCACACTCATTTATTGTTTCTAGCTTGTAACTTAACAGTGTTTGCTAGCTAGCCAAACTACCTTAGCAGTTAACAGCGTACAATTTAAACTCACCAAATATTTCAGAGCTGCCTTTCAAAACAAATTGCCGACGACGAAAACAGTTCACAAGACCTTTTGCCAGAGGCGAAATTTCAATCCAAATAACAACGCGTTCACTGCTGTACTGCCCTACAGCCCCATCGATCCTCAAATTGACTCTCCACGTGTACGGACCACGACTCAGGTCTGCGGTACATCATTCATTACACTTACAACATTGTGCTACCTTCGCGTACGCCTCGTAAACTGCTGTTGCAAACTTGAGAATGTTTTTTCTTCTTTGTTCTTTAGGGGCGAGTTGCATCCAAAATGTTGCATTACCGCCTTCTTCTGGGTTGAAAATAAGATTCAATTCTCTTATCCAATCGAACAATGAATAAATAAATTCTGAAAACTAGCCTACTCAAGCTGGGCCTGAAAGCCCCTCTCAACAATAGCCCGCACTTCCTCTCCATTCCCACTATATCAAAAAACATTCTGACAGCATAAACAACTATTTATATTCTCTTAGACTTCCTTTCCACTTTAGCAGCACAGTTAATCACGATGGCCAGAAATGCTAAGAACTTAATCTTGTCCGAACAATACAAACAATACTGACCCTGCTTCCTATATGATTTGTTCTGCCATTTCTTGAATATTTTCTTCTCTATCTGCTTCCTCATAGCATAACTATACACCATGGCATTCAATGATGATAAAAAAAATTACCATTATTGTTTTTTATTTTAAACTTGATATTTGGGTGGCATCGCCAAACCCCAATGTGGAAAGATCTTTAGCAGCATTGGCATCTAAAAGGTAAGGTAATATGTAGTGACATTAACCTGTGACAATATATACAAACTTCTGGCTGAGCACTTGGCGCTGTGTTCCTTTAGCACCACCAAAAATTAAATGCATGCAAATTAAAACTTAGACAAAGTTTGAAATAAGAATATACAATGTCATATTATTAGATAGGCCTGTAATAGTAATAGAAAAATTGGTATATTAAATAACAACACAACCCTTTGTGGTTGGCACAGTGGGCCAGTGGATAGCACTGCGGCCTCACAAGGTTGCCCCGGCCTTTCTGTGTGGAGTTTGCATATTCTCCCCCTGTCTGCGTGGGTTCTCTCCCACCGTCCAAAAACATGCGGACTATGTTAATAGGTGACCCTAAATTGTCCTTAGGTGAGAGCGTGAGAGGTTGTTTGTCTATGTGTGGCCCTGCGATGGACTGGCGACCTGTCCAGGGTGTACCTCGCCTTTCGCCCTCTGTCAGCTAGGATTGGCTCCAGCCCCCGCGACTCTGTGCGCAGGATAAACGGTTGACGATGGTTGGATGGATGGACAACCCTTTGTGTACTACAGTGTATATATATGTATATGTACAGCATGTCAAAGATACTATTAACATTGTTCAGACAGATTCTATGCTCATACCACCTCAATGCAGTGTTGGAAGAAGTATTCAGATATTTTTTAGAAGCTAAAGCAACAATACTACAATGTTAAAACAATTACTTACAAGTAAAAGTCATCCATTCAAAACTGTACTTAAGTGAAAGTTAAATTATTAGCAGCAGAATGTACTTAAAGTAGACTATCAAAAGTAAATGTACTCATAATACCATTCAGAAAGTTATACATATAGTATTATAATTAACATGTAAGCAATACTCCAAAGTTGTAGCTGGTCAAAATAAAGATCTTTGTACTTTGCACTGTAGTAACGCAAAGTAACTAGAAACTACTGTAGTAAAAACAAAGTTGTGAATTCAAAGTACAGTGTTTGCTTCTGAATTGAAGTGGAATCGAGTGGAACAGAAGTATAAAGGAACATGAAATGGATATGCTTTAGTAAAGTACCACCACCTCAAAACTTTACTACTCTGCAGTACTTTAATAAATGTACTTAGTCACTTCACACCATTCTCTACATGTAGCATTGCTCACACAATAACTCCCTCTCATGTGCTAGGACTTTTTCTGGCCATTGCATTTTCATGAGCACCTGAAGGCAGCACACTTTCCATTTTTGAATCAGCAGCAGGGGGAGCTCATGTTTCACGTTGGAAGGCCCATGTTGGACAAGAGAAGGGCAGGGGGAGTTCTATTCTCATGTATGTAAAGGCTTTCCCCCAGCTGATAAAAAGACTCCATGTTTGGTTTAGCTTTACAGATTGCTCTAGGTACTTATCAGCATTAAATTATTTAGCTTAGAGCTCCTTGCATTGTTCATATCTTATTTCCAAGTGGCAGAGAATCAAACTTCCGCAAGTCTTGCACATTTTTATCTGTGTGACAATCCATTTGTTCACATCTTTTATTTTCCAAAATCCATAAAGAATAACCAGAATATATTCATGTTACTCCAGGAATAGAATAAGCTTAAATACTACTGTCAGAGTCATTTTGATCTGACAATAGATGGAACAATGGATCAGTCTGACTCCACTGATATTGTAAGCTGCTGCTCAGAAGTGACAGAGCGAGGCTGAATTGATCCCGCAGCACTTTAGTGGTCGGAGACACAAAGATGTTTTCCTGTGGGGTTACAAGCAGGTTCCTCTTTCTCTCCCTGACACAAAACAACACTTTCTGCACACTCTGCTCCATATAATAAATGGCCACAGTCCAAAGTGGTTAGTTACAGTGTACTGTGAAAGGTCAATGGTCTTGTGAAGTGGATCGCAGCATATTATCCTCATTGTGCTCAGTGAGATATGAGGTCCAGGCGGGGAGCACTGCGGTCTCAATTTTGTCAAACTGTGACTCGTTCAGGTTAAACAACAAGACGTCCACATGGCCTACCGTTGTTTGGATCATCCGCAACTGGGTTCATTGGGCTCACTGTGTGGGTGAGTGCAAGCACTGCAAATTAAAATAACAAAATGATGGAGTTAGTGACTGATGGCTGACTCACAGAAAGATAACTGCCGAGCTGACGGATGCTTATATGTAACACCCAAATCTCTACTTGTGAGCCTTAGCAGCCAGCTTAGTCTCTGGAACACAGGACTGGGGGGGGGGGGGGGGGCTTAATGAGAGTTTTAATTCATTTTTGACCAGAGCTGTGATTGAATTAAACTCCCACAGAAGGGCTGGATCCTCTCCTTACCACAAGCCATTTCCTCCTATTAGAGATGTAACAGAAGCAGCAGGCAGGGATGCTGGTCAGTCTGAGAAGAAACTGCCTGCTCCTCCTTCATTTTATAGAAACATATATTGTTACAGGCTGTATGTTTCTGGCTGGTGTTGCAATTTGTGGACTGCTAATGTTTTGTTCAACATTTTGGGAAATATCATATATACTCATGTGTTTTCTTTCTGAGACTTATAGGAGAACATCAATACTGTCTGTCTGTCTGTGCGAAGTACAGAGTTGGAATCAGGATGCGTTTAACCTGGCTTAGTGTAAAGACTGAACGCAGGAAAACGCTCAGCCTAGCCTTCTCTGTCCAGAGTGAAAAATAATTACTGCTGACTTATTTATGTATTTTAGAACATTTTATCAGTCTACCTACTGTCTCAAACAAGTAACGTCTCGTAGCGTGAAGCTGAGTCATGACATGATTAGACTAGCTTAGCCTAGCTTAGTTCACACTTCGCATGAGCTAGCTCAAAGTAAAGTTTGCACAGATTAAAATGAACACATTCATTTTACAAGATGCTGTGAGTTTGACTAGGGTGGAGGAACTTTGCAGCCGTTGGCTTGTGGTCTTCCCCTTGGCTAAAGAATTCTTGTGATCAAGACTCACTGGCAGATATTTCCCAAGACTGGTGGCATTAGCCGTGCTGCCCTGGCGGTGTTACACCAACATTTTTTTCTGTTTTTCTTTGGAACAAATCCTTTTGTGCAAAAGAAGTACTCAACTTGTTTTTGTGTTGTGTCTGGAGTGTAGGTGCAGAGACCCCTATATGTAAGACACATGATAAATCATATTTGGCTTTTATCTGCTGGTATATCACTCCTGCTCTGGCTCCCTGTAGAATACGTGTGCTATAAGCAGCGATAGCGATAGTGCTCAAGCTGATCTGTTGACGGAGCAGCACAGAATCATCACAGCACTGTGTGCTTAGCAGCGAATATGGAAAGAAGAGTGATGTATTGTCATGTCACTGAAGAGTAGTTGGTTGCTGTCTTGTTAGTAAATGACGGATGGGTGGAAGAATGGATACATACAGTTATTGTTATTGAAGGTTGATACTGACACCAACAGGCTACATTTTTACTGACGCTGCTCCCAAAAAAAGAACAGTGCCCAAAAATGACATATTACATTCAAGTGAAAAGTCCTCTAGAGGCCATAGGAATTATGCCTCTTGTCCATTGGGAGCAAAGAAGAAAGTAGTGTGACATTGTTGTAGAGCCACAAAGTCCACATAGTACTGAGGTCGTGGTGTTTGGATGGGTCAATAAAATGTTGGACTTTGCCACGGGAGACCTCTGCTTGCTTCCTGTTTTTTACCGACAGTCAACATTGTTTTTTCAAACCATGACCTTAACCAAGTTGTTATTATTGTAACCATCATGATGAAGGTCCCCTAACCTTAGGGAAGTGTTTTTCTAACCTTAACACAGTTCATTTGGATGTTTTTGATATTTCCCTTAACCTAACCAAGTTATTTTTGTGCCTTAACCATAGCGTCGTCACATCACAAAACATTTTGTTTATGTTTTAACAGTGAATTTTAATGCTTTTGGAAGGCACTGTCAAGTGATGTCATCCTGCCGGCAGCTTTTAAACATAATGGAGCACTAAAATTGAAAGCCACGACACCAAAATGATTTTAGTGGCTAAGCAGCTCTTTGCAACAAATCACTTATTTACTTTCTGTCTGAGAGTGAGATGAGTGGATTAATATCATTTTTGTGTCAGAGCTCGAGTCAGGATGTGGTTAGCTTAGCTTAGCATAACAATGGAAGCAGGGGTGGTATAGCAAGCCTCACTCTGTCTAAAGTAAAAACACAACATTGACATGTTTCTCATTTGCTTCATCAGTACATGTAATAGTAAAAAAAAAAAAAGTAAATGGGAAAAAATATCAATTTATGGTTTTAGTGGACGTGACATGCTGGAACTACTTCTTGGCAAACAACAGCCAGTGGAAGTGATTGTGCACAGCTTCTTAAGGTCTTGTTGAATTCCAGATTAGTTATCTTCTTGCCTGTACAGAGACTACTCTATTGACAGTATTTGGCTATCC